CCAAAAACCTATAAGAAACTTGTCTGGTTAAAGGAATTTAAAAAAAACATTTTTTTAAATTTCTTTTAATTTTTTTAACATTATAGTGTTTACTTTGTAATACCTTTTATAATTTAAGTTTAAATTTGAATTTACTTGCGATCTAAAATCTAAATTCAACACATTTTTAACAACCACGGTATAAAACAAAAAGAAAGTTTACACTCTACTCGACACCGATAAAATAGTTGTCGAAATGAATTTATTAATCTATGACACGCGATGTCGTGACAGCAATACAAGCTTAAAATAAAAACAAAGTGACGTTATCATTCCTTGCATGTTCAAATTCAATTTTCTCAAAAATAAAGCATCAAGATAGAGAAAATTTCTCTACGTTTTTTACATTATCGTTTTATGTAGAATCATTCCGGCACGCTTGTGAAAATCCTCTTTAACTTATATCATCGAAACACCCTCGTATATTTACGTCGATACCATAGAAATAAGTTCTCGAGTAATTACGAGACACGGCTAGAGTCACCGGACACCCCGTATTTTTAGATCCTTCATCACGATCCTAGTAGTACTTGAATCACGCCGATACGACACAAAGGGACCTGAAGGGTGATGGGGTGAAGGGGGGAGCCTGAAGCGATTGTGAGCTGGACGCGTTAGTCATTGATACATTTTAAAGCGAGCTGTGTATCGGATGACTCATACGTAATAATCGTCATCGACAGCTGATCCAGATGCGTTGTACGTTGTTCTGAGGCGCACGCTCCCCCTCGATTAGACCACCTTCTCGTCGCACCCTTAAACGGAAGGGGGATGAAAAAGCGGTACAATGGAAAAAATACAGCAACCCCCGGCTTCAGAGAGCGATGACTAATTCATTAAGCTTCGAATTCAGCTTCATTTATTAACTCTAAATACTCCAAAACGTTTGCTCATATATTAAAATATGTATTTTTTTAAGTATTTTTTTAAGATTATTATAGAATTTATATATAATATTTACTTTTATTATAATTATTATTATTATATCAAATTTATTATTATTAAATTATTTTATTAATAATAATAAATTAATTTATGCTTAATTTATTATATGTTTATTATATATTATACAATTTTAAATTTTATGCATATTATAACTTTTTCTAATTGTTATTGATTATTATTAAATTGTTAATCAATATTGATTCATATTATAAAAAAATATTTCTGCATTGTAACCTTTTTATTATCTTCCATCCACATTATCTTTTCTATAACTTTACAAATAGAATCGTACTTTGAAACTCTTCGTCTTAAAATACAAGTTATACTACGTAGTTTTAAAAGTTGAAAAAACTAGAACTAGAAAGATATAACCATTGAAATGTCGACTAGAGAGACTGACACTACAAATAGTACATTTCCCTGGTGAAAATTTTTCTCAGAATTTTTCATATAATTTTTCAGAATTTCTATATAATTTCTATATAATTATATAACTTTCTCACATTTTTTATATGAATTGGAACACTTTTCAGAAAATCTACATCTTTTCTCAGAACTTTTCATATATGTTACTTATGAAATATCGTCAGATTTCTTAAAGTTTTTGTAAGTATAATTTCTGATGAAATGTTATATATAAAATCTAAAAAATTAAAAAATGTCTTAAAAATTATGGGATGAGAAATTTCAGAATATTTCAGAATTCACTTGTGTATGAAAAATTCTGAGAAAAGATGTAAACTTTCCGAATATTTCTGAGTATTTCTGAAAAATGTTCCAATTCGTATAAAAATTATGAGAAAAATTTTCACCAATTTTGTTTTATACATACATATTTTAATAAAATTGAGCAATACGTACATTCTATTTACTATTCTTGAATAGTAAAACGAACAGCTTCTAGCGATCGAATTCTTATAATAAACTACTAGAAAGTGCTCGAATACAAAATACAATGTTCCAAGATATGCGCGATCTTACAAACGGACGCAACGTCGTTCCGCTTCGTTCCTTTTAAGTCTTTATTCGAGCAATTTTTCAGCCTCTTTCCCGAGCGAAAGTCGAGTCGTAGCACGATGGAGGCACGGAAGAGCTGAAAGGGTTAAGGTCGCAGCGATAGGAAAATCTCGTACAAGCCTATACAACTGACTCACATCTAAATATCCCGAAAGAGAATGAGAGACGCAACGGCGACGCAGGGGATACGTTATGCAATCGTGATTTTGACATATGGCCGTTCGTGCGCTTAGCCAGCGTAAACATGCCGTAGGGTCGATATACACGGTGACTCATGCCTTCAACGTCGCAGTCAGTTGTCATCGTCGTCGTCGTCGTCGTCGTATAGTCGTAGTCGTCGTCTGAGAAAAATGCGATCGGGACCGACCGGGAGACCAGACGCGCACATTAGCCTCGCCAAAACGAGCCACACGATGCTTTGGTCTCGTATATAGGCGGCCGCGAATCGTTACTAATTATGTAATAACCAGACACGATGACAAGAGTGACGTACGTGCGCTCGTTGCTGAAACGAAGAAAGAAATGTCTGAGAATAATAAAAAAAAAATAAAATTGTTCATTATTTTTTTTCCTTTTTCTTTCTCCGCCTTTAAATTTTATTATTGTGCCTTAATCGATTCGATAATTTTTTAAAATATATATTTTTATAACATAAAAACTATATTTATAATGAGTAATATTAATTTGCGATTCTATGTATTTCAAGATACGAAAATTAAAAATGATCTAAAAATATTAATCTTAAATCTCTGTCTTTATATCGTTAAACTCTTACACGTTGATCCTTTGTTTTGAGCATTGTGACATGTTATATATTTATATCCTTCAACTTTGAAAATTTTATCGCTGGAGCGTTGACGATACCGTTATCGCGAAGCCTACGTTACGTCGCAGAAAATCACGTGGCCATATTTAGCGATGAGTACGCTAAATGTGGGCTTAACATTTAATTCGGCACGATTAGCGTGTAAACTCTGGACAAATCTCCCGTAATGCTCCGCTATAATTCATCTCTCCCTGCGCGGCTTCGCGAAAACACGGCGAAAGCGCAGATCGCGGCGCGCAAAATCTGTCCGACTATTCGCGGCGTCATCTCCGACGTGAGTCACTCCTATGAATAGATCCCCACCTTTCGCCTTCGTATGCGCCGACGATGCGAGCACACGATGTCGTCGTCGTCGTCGTCGTCGTCGTCGTCGCCGTCGCAGCCACGCGGATCTCTCCATCCGCGTTCTCTTCCTTCAAAGCCCTCCAAATCCTCAATCCCTATTATCTCGCGACAAATTCGATTCACGTGGAAAACAAACGGGAATATGATTCACCGTCCTCAGCAATCTTCCTAATTTTCACATTCGTGTAACGTAGCATTTAGATCTACGATTCTATTGTAGATGAAGGTTGTATTTATCGTTGTCCGCTCGAATCTAAATGTTATTACGTGACAACGCGACTTTAAATGTCAATTGAAATTTTCCGTACAGAGACAACGTTTCCTTCGCTTTTTAATGGAATATGTTCTATTTAAGTCTAGTATTTTGCATTTAAATGACTACTAGGATTTTTAAATTATGTAAAGGCTGCCTAAGTTATTCTTAAATTCTCGCGAACCGTTTTTACGTCAGAAGGACGCGCACAGTATCTAAAATAAAATTATGTGCTGATTTACGAGAAAGAAGTGAAGTGGAAAATATGAAGCGAATAAAAGGACAACTGGAGAGAAAAAGAAATGTAAAATAATATTAAATCACAATTATTTTCCTTCAGTAAATATCAAAGGCTAAAAGAAAATATTCGTACAAAAATACACAAGACGATTATAGAAAAGTAAATTTAGCCTTTTCAATACTGAATTTTGCTTTTTTAAACGAATTATTTTTTACCGTTCGTCTTCTTTCATTTCAGCTTAAACAGCGCTCCGTAATAATTGCTTAGCTTTATGAAAAAGAAGATTAATGGTAAAAACATGAAATTGACGGGAACTACAGAAGACACTTTTAAGAAATTTGATTTAATAATGATATATCGTAAAAAAGGAAAAAAAGTGAAGGACTAGGAAGAGTTAATAGTATATATAAACGCAGAAATGGTAGCGGAGAATGATCGACGTAAAAGTTTCGACGCGCGATTGGCGGGCCGGCAGAAATATCGCGCTCGCATCATCGTTATTTCCGAAAACCAGAGACTCGACTCCCACGTCGAGGACCGGATAGACGACAAACAGTACGCCGTTTCGCGGCCGCTTCTCGCTTTTGTAAACAAATATCACGTTATAAAGAAAAATTACGAGGGACAGGCCAATGAAGATTGATCGTTTCCACACGAGTGATCTGCGTGTAGAAAACATCGTGACGATTTGTCATAACTTTATAGACCTCATTCTGATCAAAGAGTCGTTGTATCACTAAATCTCAGGACTTTTAGATTATTTCTAAATTATTTGCGTTATGTCTCCCTCTAGTAAGTCAATTTACCAATTCTACTTATCGTATTATCTTATATATTAACAGATTTGAATCATAAAACTTTTTAGCTTTATGTATCTTCAAACAACAATACGCAATATCTATTACTGTGTATCTCTAAACAATCATACGTGGTATCTACTGAAAAATTGGTCTAAGATGTATTGCTAATCTGTGTGGATCATCCGTGCGTAGGATATCTTCGGATACCATTATCTTGCCACTATCAGTTGTACTATATTTGATAGCACAAGAATCTTACCTAGCTAACAAGTTAAATTACAGCCAATGTAGTAATAATTATATACAGAAATAACTAGTTTTCCATTCGAATATTCAGTTTGCAATTTGCTTTTGGATAAGATAACATAAAAGTTTATATAAATATATTCAGTTTCTTTTAAAAATTTTTGTTCTTCAATGAAGGAACTCGGTGCAAAAAAATAATCGAGATTATTTGAGCACATCTTCATTTCTACAAATTTATAAATCAGCATATTGATCAAAGGTGTGCAAAAAGAATCAAAGAGTGCTCACCGATCAGCACAGCCGGCTCCCGATCATCGTCCACGAGTGCAGCAAGTACCAGGAATAGTGGATTCTGAGCGGTCAGATGCTCCAGGTCGTCGGTACTTTCGTCGTACACTATGACTTCCTTGAACTGTCTTTTCCTGAGAAGCTCTTTGCCCTCGCGAGCGGATGCGAGATCGGCGAGGGTGGCCTTCCCCAGCTGAAGTCTGCGTCGGTTGAAGCGATCCGAACAGGTGACGTTGATGGCACCGCGTACGTGATTGACATTGTATAATGTAAACGGTCTGCAATCCAGAATCACTGGCGGAACGGCGGAGGATCGCTCAAGATGCACAAGACGTTGGGCAAGGTCGCCTGCAGTGATGACGCGGGTCTTGTTTAGCACTAGTTGGCGATGAAGGCCGTTTTCGGAGCAGGGGCTGGTAGGCAGGCTGGCAGTCTCCAGTTTGCAGCGCTTCGTAGTCACCGATAGGTGCTGATGATGGTGAAAATGGTGGTGATGATGATGGTGATGGTAATGGAGATGATGGAAGCCACGACGGTGGACGTCGTCGTCTTCGTCGCCGTTCACCTCCTCGTTGATCACGATCGAAGGCGGTTCGGTGGGATTGTTGTTACTGTTGTTGTTATTAATGATCGATGAAGCGGTCGTCGGTGCTGGGAAGGCGCAGGGACTCGGTCCTGGCTCGCTCAGGCTGCGGGTCAGCACGAGCTTTAAGTTGGTCCGAGGCCGGCCAGCCGATACTGGCTCGCAGCATAGCAAGGTAGACATCGAGGAGGACGATGGAATTCGGTCTTCAGGCCGATGGTCGTGCTGATTGTGTCCGCAGTGATGATGGTGATGATGATGGTGGTTGTTGGAGTTCACGTCGATAGTGCTTACGTCGCACGGTCTTACGTGGCACGGTCCTGTGGTCGGCGCTGAAACGTTAACGATCGAAATATGTCAGCAGTTTTTTTCACTTCTTTCTCCGTACGTCAGTTGATACGATAGAAGCTCCATATTCGCGCATTCCTTATTCGCGTATTTCTTGCGGTTTGCCATTGATTTCCACAAATTCGTACGTTTGCAAAGAAATATTAAAATAAACGGATAAAGAAACAAAAATTATATTTAATTGTTAATTAATTGTAAAAATTGTGCAGTTTTTATGTTACAGCAAAATGAAAAAATATAAAGGAAAAATCTTTTTACTTCTTTTCGTTATAATAAGTTAACTGGATCCTATATGGCCTACCTCTAAGCTTTGTGATTTTATTATAATTTTTTACTGAGTCCAAAATTGAAAACTAATGCAAAATCAGATTTAAAAAAAGGTGAAATATTTCTGAACAATTAAAAAAATATGAGACATTTTCAAATATACATGAGTGTGGTGAAGATTAAAAAAAAATATTGGACATAAATATACTAACATGACTTAAGTTGTTCTTTTTGCCATAAAAAAAAGTGTTAAAGAAATGGAAACTATAATGATCCAATATTACAAAATTATTTATTAAAAATTTATGAACATACTGTCATGTTTGACATATAAAAATACACAAAAAAATTATTTCCAAACAATTGATTAATAACTATCTCTAAGTAGTTATAGAAAGCAATTACTGACGAAACGTTACGTTACAACGTTTTGCATTTTGCTTTACAGATAATAATGGAATAAATAGATTGAGCAATAAATTGATGCAATCAAGTCAGACGGATAGTCTTATTAATACTGTTAAATTCACTATGTAATTACTCACAAACAGCGAGTAGGTTACCAGTACCTAGTGTTAGACCATATAAAGTCCAGTTACCTTATTTTCGTCAGCTTAATTTTTTTCACGTTTCCTTTTCCTATATTTGCAATTTAGAATTCACGATAATTTGTAAAATTTCTAATGCTTCTTAGACTTTGAATTATTTATTTATATTCTACATTGGAATCTACAAAATTCTATTTTTTTTTACAACTTGCTAAAAGTCAGTAATCTTATCTTGGCTGCAAATATTTAAAACTAAAAAGGATGTTAATTGAATAAAATTGATAAATAAGTATAAAGTCCAGTATGCCTTCGAATTAGAGTCTTCTAATTTCTATGCAAGACGATATTTAAATAATTCGAATATCTCCATGTTTGTATTTCAAGTGTAGGTTGCCATGTCTTCGAATTCTCGTATCCTTGCGTTCTTTTAGACGGTTACAATTCTAATTTGGCAGTTGGATGTCGACCAATGTCCAATCCCAAGTGTTACGAAAGATCTGTTGTAAGCGACGATGTACTAACTTAGAAATTACGTGATACACCCGGGATTCGCTAGCATGCGATTTGTTTGTTTTTATAAATAACGCCGCGTACTTTACCCGCGTGTCGCTTCGTCTTAAATTCCTAGATCCTTGGACTTTGTTACTTACAAATTTTTGCTTTGACACCTTTTTTATAACTTCTAAAATCCACATATCAAAAATAATCATAAACATACGAAAAGTACGTATCCATTATACACAAGTTGCTACATCATTTAAATCTCTAAAGAGGAATTCTAATTTCTGTGTGAATTCTCAATCTTTAAATTTCGAAAACGTTATATTGTGGATTCAATGATGAGATTACATTTGTATTTTGTTTCCACGTTCATGTGATGTTTACTTTTCAATAAAATTGGATCTTTTCGTTAAGTTCTAAAATTTGAATAGAATTAGATCGAATCAAATGACTCTCTTTCCCTCTCTCTTCTCTCTCTCTCTCTCTCTCTCGCTCTCTCTCTCTTGCCCGACCACTCTCCCACTTCTCTTCCGCCATCGAAGTTTCTCTCCGGCCCCGAGAAGTCTTCGAGTTCGTTCTTTCGTATGAGTAAACGCTGTGGAATTCGACGCTTCGAGCGGCAAGTGGGACCCCGTGACTAGCGATGGGCCCGATACCCTCGCAGTACCTATCGATATCTCTCGCAAACGCGGTCGTACAAAGAGGCATTATCAAACGACCCGAGAAAGTCGCCGAAGAGATACGTTTACTCGTGAAAAATGATTGACGGATATTTTAATTTGCATCAATCAATATATGGAAACTTTCTAGAAAAGAAAGATTTTGAATATCGCAACATTATTTTTTACATAAACCGTACATAAAATTATTTAATAATAATAATGAGAATATGATATAAATATTTCGTTTCATATATATATTTTTAGCAAAAGATCTCAACAGAGATTTAACCGAAGTTTATTCATAAATAAAAACTTATGAATTAAAAGCTTCAAATTCGTGTGAATAAATAATTCCATTTTCAAATCATTTCAATAAGAGGAAAATAAATTAAAAACTCAACTATATACTTCTGTTATTTATTTCTATCATTTGTAAAAATTTTTACTGTATAATTTTCGTTATTATACGTGTTATAAGTCGTCTGAAAAATATTCGCGTCATTTATTAATGAAAAATAACGAAAAGAGTTTTTAAATTTTTACTTTACTATTGATTTTCTTTCAAAAATTAAAAAATTAAGCTTTAAAAAAGCAAGTCTTAATTGTAGCTTTAATATGCAAATCACGAAGTATAATGAGCGCGTTTACGCTAAGGGAAAGTCCGCCTCGCATTTTTTAAAGAGTCCGTCATTGAGAACTAATGCGATTTTCATGGAACGGGTTGCAACGTAAATAAAGTAATTTATTGTCATTCTGACTAAAATAAAGATAAAGAGATATTTGTTTGGAACTATCGCTACTCGCAACCTGACCGGAGCATTCAGCCTGCGGACAGGTGTAACACCAACACCTGCCATCGTACGGAACACGTCGCTCTGCATTCTCCCATTTTTTTTTCACTCGAAAAAAATGATAGTTTCTCCGGATTAATCTGGAATCTTTTATATTCATCTCATTATTTGTTCTTCAAGCATAATCGCAATATTTGCCGAATATTTTGAATTGCAGATGTAGTAAATTATATACATATATATAAAGTAATTTAAATTGTATAAATTAAAAAAAGTTTAAGAATACATGAATTTGAAAATTCAGACTCAAAATATAGTCCGATATCTCAGAACACTCTAACATCTATTTCGACTGTCAGCTAGGGATATAAAAACTCGTCACTGAAAAGATTCAGTAATTTAAAAATACATTTAAAAAATCTTAATTTTCATTTACGTTTTAATTTAAAAAATAGTGAACCACAAGCATGTCGATTAGATTTCTCATTTACATCACTATTATATTCCTGATCTACATTCGGTAGCAATTAACTGACACAACTAATTAAAACATCCGGTTCATTTGCAAACAATTAAAAATACAATTATTCTAGTTACATATTTTTTATACCTAGCACGAAATGTAATTTTATATTATCTAGAATTTTCTAGCGTTTCAAATAACTTATTTTAATTAGATTCCGAAAGACTTTAAAAGCAGCAAAATTCAAATAGCACAGATAACGATTGCAGTTAAATTTACAAAAAGAAATAGAAATTTTTTTAACAATTTCTATAAAACAGAATTGTTTTTTGTTGAAAGTATTTAAAAATTCGGGAAAACTATGTTTATTTGTATAAAACTCATAAACACACATCGGAATCAAATATAAAAAATTATTTAAAAAGTCCTACAAAAAGTTCAAGATCCAAAGATCTAAAAATTTAAGAATCGAAAAAAGCCAATTTTCCTCTTTTAAAATTCCATATTAAAAAAAAAAGCATCTATTATTCTTATCACGAGCAATGTTTATAGAGACTCATGGAAAGTATCCGAAGATACAGCTCAATTAAACGCCTACGTAGAAATAGAACAATCTAAAGCTCGAGGCATCCCAAGTGTTTTAATTCCCGACTTACGCATCCAAGGCATTATAAATCGAAAGATACAAACGCATTTCAATTGCAGAACATCAATATACAAATTCAGGAAATCAAAATGCAAGAAATACATGCATCCCAACGAAAACCTACGTCATCTAGGCGCTAGATGACTAGAAAACTCGAAGAAAACACGATTACACACCTTGCATCTACATATCCAGAAACCGAGAAGTCCGGTCCGATCCTAGAAATCCAACGACAGTGCTCCAAGCGTCCTAGTTCTTGATCTACACGTTCGAGAACGGAAGGGACCCGTGAAATATTACATTCGTAAGAACAGCCCCCCGGTTACGCACTCCCGACACGATACCATCCGCGAGTGTGCGATCTTATCGAGGATTAAGGAACCGGGAGAGAAGAGGGAGGATAAGGAAGGGTGGAACGTGGTGAGACAGACCGTCGGGCTGACGTCACGGGTCTCAAGAGAGCGCGATCGCGCGGACCCGGGGGGCCCCGCGATGCTCACGTCGGGCCAACATGTTCCCTACGGGAACGGCGAATGCGCGAGGTGTATACGATACACGGGAGATCTACAGCAGCGGGAGCGCGATCAATGCGGGATCCCCTGCCAACGGCCGGCGAGTGAAGACTGAGGCAGTGAGGAGGAGAAGCCTGGCTCACCGCTAAAACGCGGCGACGACGGCTACGACGACGACGACGAGTTCGCCGGCGACGAGGAGAGCGGAGAACATTCGAGGAGAGTGGAGAACGCTGCCGGCACGGCGCGACGGAGGACGGGGGTCACCACCGGAGCTCTGCGCAGGAGCGTAATTTAACCCCTCGTACCAAACCTAACGCACATCGCAATACGTGTTTTAACCTCTGGAGCGCTAGTTTTTTTTCTTGGAGAAAAAAAACAATATTACAAATACGATATTTCGTAAGAAAGTAATGTAAAATATAATCTTATCTGTATCCTTTCGTTAATTGTATTATAAAGGTACCGCGTCTGTTTCGAAATTTCCGCGAGAAGAAAGCTCGCAAAAAATTCCATCTTTGTTCAAAAAGAAAAATCATTTACGTATAAAATTCACGGAAAAAGTACAACTGTTGTATTCATAATATTCTATGAAACATTAGAAATAACATAAAATTCAAAAAATGTTTCCAAACTAGCATTCGTTATTTTATACACTTGTCCTCTTATTCTATTTTCCGTATTGAAAGTGTGAGAAATGACACTGTTTGGTTTCCTTTAGGGAAGAAAGTTTTTTAAAAACTTTTGATGGAAAATACCTGTTTCAAAATTTTGCCATTGTAAGTTGATATTCCTTCGTATATCCATGAGAACTAAAAATCACATTTGTAAAGTTTTTATATAAATCTTCAATCAATTTCTTCATTTAAATCCGTAGTGAATAAAATTCTGATCGAATATCTAAAATTTTTTAAGTTATTTAGGGAACGTATTATTATATCAATGTATTATTTGTAAGTAATGCGCTCTTAAAAGATGTAAAGTACAAAATTTGATTTTAATTTAAGTTTCATTTCACGATTTAAATCATGTTTTTATTCCGCCTTCAATTTCAAATTTAATTCTCATTCTAAAAATCTTCGTATAAATTTTAAATTTAAAACTGATTTTTAGAAAATCTATCAGCAATGATTTTATTTTTATATATTTCCATTTCATCTGTATTTAAATTTAATTTTGATTTCATCGTTAATTTTCAATATGACCTTCACATCTCTTAATATATTTCACAACTGAATCTTAGATTGTCGTATCTGTAACATCCTTACATCCTGTAAATGTAGGATCCTCGATTCCTCGCAAATTTTCGAGTTTCAAGCTTCTCGCGCCACGTATTCCGTAAAGTAAAAGTTCCTCGTATCTTAGAACTGCTCAATCCAGATTCTTCCGATTCATATAATATGCACTCATATGCAATATTGACTATCGGCAATAACGAAAAAAAAAAAAGGAAGTTCTGCACCATCGTGCGTGCAACGCGCAACGCGCGCGCGATGACTCATCCGTCGACGGCGCAAGCACACGCGCTTTGCGTGTGTGCACACACGCACGTATTGTATACACTTGTATGTACATTCACGACCGGTGTCTCGAGATATACATTACGCCACAGCGACACTGCCGTACCGAGAAAAGAGTTGCTGGCGCACGCTCGATCGATGTCAGTCTCGGTATTTTGAATATTAATAGTATCACTAAGATCGCGCGTGAGAACTATAGCAATGAAGCGTGTAAAGGGGCTTCCATGATCGATAATATTAATCACCATCTTGAATATTAATATCGAATGATCTCACAGGGTTATTTATCGTGTCACCATTTTTCTATTTCTGACGATTTTTCGCGTTTTTTTTTTTACCAACTTTTCGATATTCAGCTCAAAAAAGCACATAATTCTTTTCACTTTGATATTTCTCTGAATAACGTACAGTATAAACAAGAGAGTTGAGAGATTTTGAAGTGTTTCGTACGAGGAGAGACGGAAAAGTTGTTCAAGCAGACGTGATTGAAGAGAATTTCTTCTCAGGTAATTTCGTATCAGAATTTATATTGTGCATTGTGTTTGCTCAGTGACAATCGGTGCACAGGCTTGCGCAAATAAGTGATATGATCTACGATGATGGCGTCAAGCGAAAAGATTTTTAATTTAAAAATCAATTAAATTTAGAAATATAATAGGTACTACAAATTCAAAACAAATCTTTATTTCGAGCTCCGCAGAGAATTTTAGGATTCAATAAAAATTCAAATATTTCATGATATAATTTTTTTTCGTCTATTATTTGTGTCACATATGTCAAATTAAATATTTGAAAAATCACGCATAGAAACATTTTTAGTCTTCTTTTATTAGTTACGAGCAGTGACGAGCCAAAATTAACACAAAGGTGATCAATGTCAATTTCGTGCTCTTCGATGAAAAAAGTAACCATAGAAAATACGTCAAAGTAAACTAGAAAGATAAAAAAAAACTGTTTAAATACGGAGAACGATCTAAAAGTATTATAAGACTGATGTATGAATAATTACGAATAGTGTAAAGAAGTAGCTTTCTTTACCGTGTACAGTTTCTCGGTTTCGCTCGATAAATGTGGATCAATTATTCGTCAATTATGTACTTCGGATAATCAACATTGCGTAGTACTTGTTGACGTTAATCAACCGCTTTATTTCGGTACGCGCGATAATTTTGTCATACAAACGAGACAACTTTTTCGTATGTTGCGTATGTGCAAGCTGATAAAAAGCTCAAGAGCATGATTAATACATGCGTATTGTTTTCTCAGGTGAATCCGCGACAAATTTCATTTATCTAATAGCTCTTTAACTTCTTTTCTGGATCTCAGCAGCCTCACGTAGACGTGCGCTCGACCTTCTCTAAGAGAGAATGGAGCGTCGGATGTCTGTTTCACGTAATTAATCGGTGTGCTCTCTTAAAGGTTCCCATTAATCTGACCAAGAGAGATAAGATTGCTAGCGTTATGATGGCATTGACGCTTTCGTTCTCGCATGATAACTGTTTCTGAAAATTCAATCGCCTATTCCACGACGCCTATGCCGAGCGCTGTCTCTCTCTCTCTCTCTCTCTCTCTCTCCCTCCCCCTCTTCTCTTTATCTTGACTAAAAAAAAAAAAAGATTATTCCTAAATAAACGATGAAATCACTTTGATTAATTTCTGACGCAAATTCGTATCTCGTTATTTATGTTCTCTTTCTCACAACAATTCATTTGACGTCACATTACAATTAAAAAATTCACAAAATCGTCTAGAAGATTTACAACATTTACAATGTTGTTATTTAAATTCCTAAAAATATGGAATGATGTTTCGTATCATTTTAAGTGACGCAACTTGAAGGATTCAAAATGAAAAATTACACGAAAGTCCAAAATGATAACTCTCAGAAAATATAAGAACTCCAAAAGGACTTATAAAGATAAAAAATTTTCCCTTTTTGAAAATGCAAGATTTAACGATCATAAAGTTTGAAATGTCGAAAATTCGGCAAAAGAGATCGGGAAGTTTAAGAATTCGAGAATTTAGGGATTCAAGAATCTAGAAAATCCAAGAAAATCCATAAATTTAAGGATCCAACCCTCGGAAAGTTCCGCGCGCGCAAGCACGTAGCTTGTGTTCGTGCGTATATTCATCTACTCCGTCCACCAAAGATAGAGTCTGACATCATACACACGGGCATCAGTCAGGTCGAACGAGCGATAAACATATGTACCCGCACACACGGTGTCCTCGTATGCGGAAGATTCCAGTTTATCACTTGTACAACTGCCTTGATCGATCGATGCACCCACCGATGCCGCAGGGCGTGTGATTCTGCTCTTTCTCTTATTTCTCATCACAATCTGAACGATTGTGTTTGCTACGTGCTTCCGCTGACATGCTGGGTGAACACAAATCTTCAGTTATAACTATAAAAATGTAACTAACTTAACTGTGGTGCTGAAATTTTGGCGCGTATCTTACTCGTTAATCATTTTACGAATTCTTAGACGAGAACGAGATGACATTGACGACAAGCACACGTAAACAGTTTGGTAACTGCAAATGTTCTCTCGAAAATAACATTCGCGTAGATCCAAAGATCTACAGACAAGAAAGACTTTCAAAGATATAAAGACACTGATATGAAGACCGAACATTTTGCCTCTGAAATTCGAAGACTTATTATGATTTCAAAAAAATCGGCGATATATTCAACGATGAATAACGCTAATTAGGAATTGCCCCGACAGTTATATTAGTTATCTCGAGTCATGTCATTAAAAACGAAAAAATAAGCGAAACAGTGCCTTGAAACAGTTGATTTTTCCTCAATGAAACTATTGTAGTCAGATAAAACAGACTTATGAAGCGTGCTCTACAAATCTTATCATTAAATCAATATGTATTATATCCTTTATGACTATAAAAAAAGATAAAACAATTTCAAGATATATATTTTATAACTTTTACCTTTTTTTAATAAAAGTATAACTTTATTTTCTGAGTTTATTTTCTTTTATTTTTTTTTATAATGTTTTTTACGTATCTCACAAGCCTTCTCCGTCGAGATGCGATGCATCTCTCTCGTTAGCTATCGAGAAAAAGTTTAATTGTTTCAATTGTGTTGATTGTTTATTTCAGTAATGATTGTGCCAGCAAACGTAAAAGTTAAACACCCCGATTTCTTGACTTTTCTCGAGTCTTGAGTGCGTTTACGCCTTGAGGGTTTATTGTTTGCCGAGAATAATGGCGATTTACACGAGCTCGGATACGGCAGCTTTATAGTAACACGTAACACCCGCTGCTGCTGCTGATAAGGCGCCTTTGTACATACTATATCGGTAGACGTCACGAAATGAGCCTGATAAAATACGATTCGTTCAAGTACGATATATAAGATAACATACGCGCAATATAATCTGTCACGCAATTATCGATAGTCTGATAGCGTCGAAGTAATAAGCGATTTTCGAGAATGTCCTTTTCTCGATCTTTTGTTAAATGATTTAATGTAATTTCACATAAGCAGAATTATAATTAAATGTTGCTCTGATTCAATTGATGTGTTACTGATTAATCGGTAGACTGAGATAATTAAAAAACGCTCCTAAGAAAATTAGCGACTGTTATTTATGTACATATATGCGCATAATATACCTAGTTATTCAG